ACACTTGAAAGCACGAATTTTGATAAAAAAGTGATAGGCTGTAAAATAGCACCTTTACACGTACATTTTAAAAAAGGAAAATATCTCGTTGTTGCCTATATTTCGTATCGGACTAGTCTGAGAAGAAATGCCAAAACAAAAGAGGTCCGTCTCTTCTAAAATCCAGACAAATAGGTCGAGACAAGTCCATCGAGTCTTGGGTCAAAACAAAATTGTATAAGGTATTTAATTTGAAAAATCATTACTCTGATCGTAGAATTGTGCTTAGGTAACATCGGCAATACATTTGTCATGTTATAAGGAACATCTAACATATGTAATATTGTATATTGGATGTACGCAATTAACTGTAGAGGCATGCAAATGGGAGAAAACTAGCGTGATGATATTATTAATGTTGTAATCAATTTCATAGATAAACGAGTAGATAGGTAATTGGCAAAATAAATCAATTGCTTACGGCAATGGAGAATTAAGGTAATTAAAAAATAGAAGCGATTGCTTTGACGTTTTTTAAGTTTAAAATAGATATAAAACACATAAGTAATAACTGCTTTTCTTAATACAAACTGTATTAGTTACCAAATTAAGACATTAAGCAAAACATAATCGTATTTTTAGGCTTTCAAGGTTCATATTGCTACGTCTACCAGTAATATCTAAAGCCTGTCCTTATAAATTAAATATTAACTGCGCTTGCAACACTTTAGGTCTTACTAGGTACTAAAACTGGACCTGTATGTAATTGCAAGAGTTTTAAATGAAGTTTGTTATAAACAAATCACCTTTAATATGCAACTTGGTTTGGTTATAGACTAAGCATATATACATATACTAGCTGTGCCCGCGACTTCGTCCTCGTGGAATAGTGATTCACAGCTCGTCTCCCGTAGGTGATAGCGTGATAATATGTAGCCTATATATTGATCCGAACTGTTAGTAATATTCATGCAATTTGAAGTAAATCCATGTAGTACTTTTTGTGATCATCCCGGACATACATACAGACAAACAAACAAATAGACAAAAGTTCCAAAAACCACATATTTGCTTCAGTATCGATAGTAAATCACGCCCGACGTATTCATTTAAAAAATATTAGGTAAATGTACCTACAATTTTGACTTTTCTACGATTTTATTACCTCTATATGTATAGATTAACAAAAGGCTAGATTAAATATAAGATATATATTAAGATAGATCTAATGTATCTATCTATGTAATAAGAGCCATAACAGTAAATAAACTTAATAAATAACGAAGAAAACCTGAACCTTAATTATATGGTAGCGTTTTGGACAAACGATGGAAGTTGAAAGAAAAATTGGAATGACAATTAAATAAAAGAGTGGGAGAGCCATGCTTCAGCACGAATGGGCCGGCTCGACCGGAGTGATACCACGGCCTCATAGAAAACCGACGTGAAACAACGCTTGCGTTGTGTTTCGTCGTGTGATTGAGGTTACCGGAGACCCAATTACCCCCCTCCCTAGTGTGCCCTCTTCCGTATCCCCAAATCCTCCACAATCTTCAAATTCCTACTTACCCATCTCCTGCTTACTATCAGGTGATCCGTCTGCTCGTTTACCGGCTTATGCTATATACACACGTAGACTATACATACCTATACATAAGTGCTTAGTACCGACGCCATACTAAGGGCGATCGAAACCCTTTCGTAATACTAAAACGAGTTTTCAATGCATGTTTAAGAACTGGCTTGAAGGTAATGGATTTTTATACATATATGTACTTAGGTAAGGTTGAGCGGTGGGCAAAACTCACTACTGAGTGGAGTACGCTTAACTTCAATAGACTTTGCGGTAGGCCCAGAAGGAGATGGCGGCGTGAAATTGACGGCTATGAAAAGGATTAGCCACAGAAAGCTTTAAGAAGAGATGAGTGGAAGGAGGGTAGGGAGGCCTTTGCGCTGCAGTGGGACGATCATGGCTAAAAATAAATAAATGTACCAACATTGTACATGATTTTCGTACGTGAAGGCACAACTTTCTAAAGAACTCAGTAATACAACATAATATCACGCCTTTTATCCTCGAAGGGGCACATTATGCCACTGTACAATGTAACACCCACTTTTCACTATTTATGTTATGGAGTCCTATGTAATAGGGGGTGAGCCTATTGCCATATACCGGGCACGATTCCAGCCTCCGTGCTACTATTGAGATTTTTGAAAACCCAGTATTACTTTGACTGACTCGAGAATCGAACCCGAGACCCCTTGCCCGGCAGTCGCAGTTGCGACCACTCGGTCAACGAGTGTTTATCCTTCCTAGTTTATCGTACAAGTAGGTTTACTAGTAAAATCCTGAGTCCAATATAAAACAAAATATCAAGGTTTTTAAAGATTTAAACATGTAAAGATATTAGATACAACATTCTGATTATTGTAATTCAAAATGATATGGTCACGGAACCGCGCATAAATAATATAAATAACTATATGAATTCAAGTAGAAAGGATATTGTACAACTTCGGTGTCCTTCGAACAGGCTGGAATCATTTTTTTCTGGTTTTTAAAACTACCAATACATTTTATATCTGGTTTCCAATGAGTCGTTAATTTAGTGGACGCACGTGATCCCAAACTTCGATACCTACTAGAAATGATTATTTACATATTTATAACGTATTTACATTTTCTACCAGTTAACAACAGCTAGTTACTGATTTGTTTGACGGAGAATTTGGTAGTAAAAGTTATTATTTCACGTGTTTTAAATTAAATAACCTGTTTGGATCTTTCGTTAAGCCTTTGACTGCCAATAAAAAAGTATTGAAGGCAAATCCTCCGCTAACGCCGGTCACCGGTGACCCCATGGCGTTCAACATGTTAAGGTGGGGGCAAAAATGATTGTGACCTTATGCTATTATATAAAGCGGAAGAGTTTGTTTTTTGTTTGTTTGTTTGTTTGTTTGAACGCGCTAATCTCCGTAACTACAAGTCTGATTTGATAATTATTTTTGTTCTGGATAGCGCATTTATCGAGGATGGCTATAGGCTATAAAACATCACGCTACGACCAATAGGAGCTGAGCAGAGCGTGTGAAACCGCGCGGAAGTAGCTAGTTTCTATTAATTGTATTCAACAAAGAAGAATGAGTACAACACTCAGCCCTCCGACTTAAAAAAAATACTGGTGAAATGAAAAGTTGATATGGACTCCTTTCTCGCGGTCTTAATCCGACGGATAATTTAACTGAGTTTAATATAAAATCATGCTTGACTGCCGTGTGGCCGAGTGGTCGCAAGTGCGACTGTCGGGCAACGGGTCTCGGGTTCGAATTTCGGGTCTGGCAAAGATTATTGGGTTTATTAAAAATTCTCAGTAGTAGCACGGAGTCTGGAATTGGAATTGTGCCCGGTATATGGCAATAGGGTTACCCCCTATTACATGGGACTCATAACATAAATAGTGAAAAGTGGGTGTTACATTGTACAGGGGCATAATGTGCACCTCTGCCTATCCCTTCGGGAAAAAAGGCGTGATGTTATGTTATGTTTAATATAAAATGGCTCAAAATATGTATCAATTCAGTTAAAAGCAACTTCATCAGCAATCAATTATTTAATTTGCCATTGCTACATACTAAATGTCTACTTAGGTCCGCTTTTACAGATACTAAGTACGTGACGTTACAAATTGATAGTTTAAACCACATTTTACTTAACAGGCCTATCAGCGACCATACCATGATATGTAACTACATTTCAATAACCAAGAGAAGTTTCTCAACAAAATGATAGCTCTTTTGAGTTTACGTAAGCATCGTTTGTACATTGTATGTCAATCATAATGTTTAACTGTTTCACATTGGCCTTCGTAAGCTGTATACTATGACACGCACGTAGGGACTGCATAACCTCACGCCTTTTATCCCCGAAGAGGTAGGTAGAGTTGCACATTGTGCCACAGTACAATATAACACCCACTTTTCACTATTTATGTTATGAGTCCCATGTAATAGGGGGTGAGCCTATTGCCATACATGCTGAGATTTTTTTAAAAAACCCAGTAATACTTTGCCCGGCCCAGGAATTGAACCCGAGACCCTTTGCCCGGCAGTCGCACTTGAGACCACTCGGCAAACGAGGCAGTCAACGTAGGAACTAGACATACTGTTTTGTACATTGGATGTTCATCTACCTTTAAAAGATCAAACTATTAACTGGATACCTTATAGGTATATAAAATAGCTAACGGTAACATAATTTTTCAAGAGCTGCAAAGCTGTCTGATAACTTCTGATGATGCTAAACTGTGATATCTATCTAGTAACTAGCGACCCGTCCCGGCTTCGCACTGGTGCAATATGCATGTATTATACATATAAACCTTCCTTAAGAATAACTCTATCTATTAAAAAAACCGCATCAAAATCCGTTGCGTAGTTTTAAAGATCTAAGCATACATAGGGACAGACAGATGGCGGATAGCGACTTTGTTTTATACTATGTAGTGATATACCAGCCAAGCATGGAGAATTTACTCCTCAATTCCAATGACAAGGAAATGTAAGTTAGATTCTTAAATTTCTTGTTTATTAAAAAGTATTACGGTATTAGATAAAATGTGGAATGTAGATGAAGAGTGCAGGATGCTGTATGAGCAATGAAGCTAGTTTAAAACAGGGTAGTGTCTAAAATTTTATTTTAATGTCCGTCTGGTACATTAATTTAAAACTTTAGACACGTATTTTTTCTTTTCTCACAAAATTAAATACTTCCAACGATATATAAATTTGAAATATCGTGTGACGTCACAGCGTGCTACATTTTGTAGCACGTTACGTCATAACCACCTCTCACTCCTAAACTTAGCGCCATTTTATCTAAGTATTGCAACTTAATACGAGAAAATGAAAAAATATGTGTCTAATATTTTTTTATTATCTAACTGACGGACAAATTAGATTTTTAAATTTCATACCCTGGTAACTACCCTATTGTAATAGATAGGTAAAGTGATTCTTACCGACTACATGAGGTAAATGAGGTTGCTTATGAAGCCAATCTTTGAACACCTCCAGCTCCCTGCTCGTGTCTACTTCAGGCATGATTCTGTAATAAAACAAAATGGGATTAAATATAAAGAAAAAGATTTCCTTTTAAAAATATATCATGGGATTTTTGTATAGACACTTCGATGATAAAATAGGATAGGATATCTCGATAGATCCTTTTCATACAACCACATAATTAGGTATTTTCCTCAATCAAAAATTAATTATTTCGACTGTTCAATACAATGAAATATTAAAAAATAATCACACTTTCATTAATTGAGTTTATGACCCACTTAATTTTAGTATTTTTCTAGCAAATTTTTAATTAATATGTACGCTGTTTGACGCAAAAAAATCGTGACGTCACAATTCACAGCATCGTACAAAATTCTAGAGATTTGTCGTTTTTGACAGTTCGAAAAAAGTATTGAATTTGACTAGTTGTCAAATACCGCTTTGGTTTTTCTCGTTCAACAATGTTAAACTTATAATAATGTAGTAAATGATTAATTTATTGTATATTAACATTGTATCCTGTTTCTATTGTATTTATATTATTGTTGAACAGCTGCATATAATCTTCCGTTGCATGCATCTGTATAAGTAGATACCATGGACAGGCTGCATATTGAGCTATAAAACCAGTATAAACTGACCTTTGAATGCACTGAAAGATCATACATTGCGAGACCATGATAAACTGGTATTGTTTAGCTTGATTTATAGCCGTGTGTACTAAGGTACCAACCATCAAATAATGATCAATCAATTGTTCTGAGAATCAGTTCTTTGTGTGATGACGTCACGCACTATTGTTTACAAATGATGTATTATGGATACATAATGTGGTGTAGTAATATTGTATGTTAGATATATATACATACCTAGATACTATAGGTACTATTATCATTTGCAATGTATCTAGATGTACCTAAATGTAGTTAAGATGCAACATTCGTAAAAGTTTATTTATTTGTTTATAAGCAGTTCGAGTTAGAGTTCGTCCGGGTGGAATAGTGATTCACAACTCCTCCCCATAGGTGATAGCGTGATAATATGTAATCTAAATGTTGACCCGACCTTTTAGTAATATTCATGCAAAATTTGAAGTACATCCCTGCAGTACTTTTTGAGTTTAGCCCGGTCATGCATACATACAAACAGACAAAAATTCTAAAATTCATATTTTTGGCTTCGGTATCGACTGCAGTCTGCAGATCATGAACCAGGTATTCTTGAAAAAAGATATTAAATGTACAGTTTACACTTTCCTATGATTTTATTATGTTTGTCAACCTAAATATTATATTTCTGGTGAAAATTATTGTTTGCAAGTAGAAGTACTTAATTTTAAAGACGATTATGAGATAAAAGACTGACAAATTAGCCAAATTGAAAATATACGCGGGCAAAGGTTAGTTTATATGTATTTTTACTTTATTGTACAGTTAATTACGTATTTTTATTTATATTCCCTCCACGTGTTAAATTATGATTTTGATATACCTACGTCAATGGGTGTGTGTAATCAAGTTTTTTGCAGATATAAAATTATAATCAAACTGACATGACATAACGCAACGAAGGTATAATTTTGGTTAAAAAAATATATATAACCAGTTATTTTAAAGTTCCTGAAATTTTATATACATACTTATGGTTTTTAATTAATCAAAGTTATTATGTAATAAAACGTGTTTCGTATAACTTGTTTTAGTAAAATTACGTATAATTATTCATCTTCCTACATCTATAATTTATTGCTTCCTACAAAAAGTTTATATTTGTTATTTACTGCTTCTTATTATTGACTGCTTCCCCCGGGTGAGGCGGGAGGGAGTGTCAGACTCTTACTGACTATAAACCACCCCGTTCCTTCTCCTGCACGTCGAGCCGGAGCCCCGGTTACCCGTTAGGTTCTCCGCGACTCCGAATCGGCATCGGCCCTATTGGGCCCCATCTGTGGTCTGATGGCTCTTTGAGGCGCGCGCGGAACGCGACGCGCCGTACGCTCGGCTCTGTTTCTGGTTATATGTATACTAGGTATTAATAATGTCGCTGTGGCCCGGAGGTTTAAGGAGGCCATACACGCTAGGTTTTGCATGATGGTCCAATTTCTACCGTGTTGTGCGCTGTGGTCGTTATTTGACCGCCACTACTCGCCTTGCACATAGCCAATAGGTTCTATGTTCATATAGACAGGAGTATTCTAATCACGAGTCGATATTGCTCAAAATGACTTATCTTTACGAAACATAAGGTAATAAATTACTGCAGTCCACACGGACATGACCAATTAATTCAACTTTTTGTTGTTAGATACGTAAATAATGACTACGCCTTAACAGTTTTCTTTTTTATATTATTCCTGACAATAACAACTGGCAGGTCGTGTTATTACTCGTTTTAATCTTTGTTTTTTTATTTTTTCTTCTTGTGGTGCCACTTCATTCCTGAAGGTTTGTCGTCAGTTTTTTGAATTGGTCCTTGTCATTGGTCAGGCGAAAAAGTTGTTCAACAGAGGTGATACCGGTCCGACCCCGGATGTTTTTTATTTAAAATATGAAATATCTAAACTGCATTATATGAGTTTATAAGTATCTAATTTATGTTATTAACATCACGTAGGTTTTAGTGTGAAATATTCAGAATTGTATATGATTCAAGGCCATTGTAGTTTACCTAGTGCATTCCCTTCATTTTGGATGGGAATAAATAATTAAATATAAATTTAATAATTCAATAAAATCATCATAAAAATAATCTATTCAATGAATTCCCTAAATATTTTCTTCTATATAGATGTTATCGGCCCAGAAGGAGATGGCGAGATGAACTTGAGGCCTATGAGAAGGATTGCCCACAGACAGCTTTAAGATAAGAAGGAGGTTAGGAAGCCCAGAAGTAGGACAGCAATAATTAAAAAAGAAATAAATATGTTATAATACTTAACTATACCTAAATATCTTTATAACCTCATACCAACACGCAGAGGAAGACCAAGTTCACGAAAGATTAATAGTTGGCATTGTATCCTACGTGAGTAACGTGAGACCTCGCGCGCGATACGAATACAAATATTTTATAATAATTTAAACGTTACTAGGCAATACGGGCGTAGTTATCGAAGTATTTGCTGTATTACATATTAAAGATATGAGTTCTGAGAACTATAGGGCCGTTGGTGGAATTACGGGAACCCTAAAATAAAGAGGCCTTGAACTACAAGGCAGGTACCTAAAACTGGAGAAGCTGCACAACACTGTAACTGCATAAATGTTAGACCTTTTTAAGCGTGGTAATTTTACAAAATATACCCTGTCTGATTTGCTTAATTATTATTATTATGGCAATAATTTGAATCAAAATCTGATCAGTATATTATAATGAAGGAATACCATAGTAAAGATTTGTTAGACAACATAAATTGGTCCAAATCTAATAAAAAGGTAGTTAATAATTTTTTTCAAGCCTGAAATTTTATCATATTTTTAAACATCAAATCGATAACCATAAGAGTTTTATTTATTCATTCACTAGCTTTTACCCGCGGCTTCGCTCGCGTCACAAAAGGATAAAAAGTAGCCTAAGTGACATATATCAATACACACAGCGCCATCTATACCAATAATTTCGTTTTCCCTCGAGAATACCAAATTTTTCTGGGATAAAAAATACCCTATTATTTAATCCAGACTTCTAACTTTACGTCTGCAAAAATTCAAAGCAATCGGTTTAGTAGTTACGGCGTGAAAGCGGAACAAACAAACAAACTCACTTTCCGATTTATAATATTAGTAAGGATAAGCCCTAAATAGACACTACTTAGCAAGGTTAAGAGAGCCAGAATATAGTGTCCCAATATGTTTCGATAGCCCGCTAATTTGATTCGAAAGTATCGCTAACCGGTCGTTGTCATGCCACTATGTTACTTGTAAGGCTAAAACTGTCTACGTCCTACATCTTTGCAACTGACATATTAGTATACCGATGTATCTATCACATACATATCATATATTTTAAAACTAGTTTCCGCAACATCTGTTTGTCCAAACGCAACGATCTCAAAAACTGCTCATCCGATTTTGATTCGATTTAAAACGGAGATTCGTAAAGAAGGTAGAAAAACAATGCCAAGAAGCTATTAGAAATAATTTTAATCAGATGGGTAACACAGTTAATTTTTTTTAATTATTTTTGTAGGTACTCCATAACATAACATAACATAACATCACGCCTTTTATCCCCGAAGGGGTAGGCAGAGGTGCACATTATGCCACTGTACAATGTAACACCCACTTTTCACTATTTATGTTATGAGTCCCATGTAATAGGGGGTGAGCCTATTGCCATATACCGGGCACAATTCCAGACTCCGTGCTACTACTGAGAATTTTTTAAAAACCCAGTAATACTTTGCCCGACCCGGGAATCGAACCCGAGACCCCTTGCCCGGCAGTCGCACTTGCGACCACTCGGCCAACGAGGAAGTCAACTACTAGTAAGTCTACTACTAGTAACTATCATATCGGACATACATTACAATTCTGCAATAATACTGAGAATATATGATGTAGGAAACTCTTTTATACTTCACACGAATTACTGAGTATTTGTCATAAGTATCTTCATTTGAATATAATTGAGGGAAGGTCATGAGATCACGACAAATTAGAAACTATATAATGAATTTCAACTTAATTGATAGGTAATAATAATAATAATAATAATAATAATCTTTATTGTACACCTTAAAGTAATATAAACATATATGTAGAGTTACAATCAAGAATAGTAGGGCACAAAGGCGGCCTTATCACTAAAAGCGATCTCTACCAGGCAACCTTTGGGTGAATGGTATATATTAAATGGTGAATAGGTATTGGTATTGTAGGTAAAATTTATCAAAATTGCTCCAAAACAAGGTATCTTACTATAAAAGTAAATATGTGAAATATATATACGTAGGTATGGAAATCAGATCGAAAAAATAGAAATACTATAAAAACAACAAAATTGCACTCAAAAAAATAATTAGCATTTTATTAAGTATCT